ATTACATTCCTTCTCTAAATAACGAATATCCATTCTATCTAAAACTAGCCATCTTGAGGAACGCAACTAACATCCACTATTTGGTGTTCATAGAAATAACACTTAACAAACTTGAAGCCATCATTTCGGCAAAAGCCCTGAAGCTGAAGTCAACAACCGCCGGCGCGCGCCCCGGCCGCATGCGACCAATTGGAAATAACCACAGGAGGTCGCCCATTACACCTGACGTCCTCGGCGACACGCCGCTGCGCGTCGCTTCGCGTGGCGGCGTGTCGTGTCACGTCACGTCACGTCACGCCACGCGCCAACAATAGCCGCCGCCACCCTCCCACTCTCGCCTCCGCCTTCGCCGTTGCCACTGCTCGAGTCTCGAGAGTTCTCGCCTCCTTTTCTTCCGACAGACACTAACATTTGCATTCACTGTCGCCCCGTCGACCGACACAACATAGTGGCATCGTTGCAGCTGTGACAAAGGTGCAAACGAGGGCCCTAGAAGTTGTAGGGAACCGGCTAGAACATGAAGTGACATGTAAAGGTTTATTGAGGGGAAATATGGATTGAACAGGGGTTTCAATGACCGGCAAAATACTGTGTTTTGTTGTACCGATGGTCCAGTGAAGGCAGTATCAGCAGAAATTCCATTGTAACCCACTGCTTTCCTTGCTTCACTCTATACACTTATCCTGGATGGCCGTAAAGACATGGGTTTCATTACATTTCATTTTAAAAATACTATTTTCTATTTTATCCTCATTTGCATTAGTTATCAATAAATAAGGTAAATTTATTTAAGTGGCATCGTAAATTTTCGCCTGTAACTTAGATAACGTCTCCACATGTTTTCGCATTAACCTTCGTTCGTGTTATCGTATTTATCTTCATTTCCACTTTCGCCTTCCTTTTCCCGTTCGCTCTTGTTTCTGAACTCATCTGGGTTTCATTTCCGGTTCTTTTCATTTGCGCCATCCACCTCGTTCATTGCAGACACCGACACAGTTCCCTGCATCTTCACAACACGTGGCTTGCTCAGCCCAGCACGACTCTTAGCCATCGAAAGGAGCAGGTTGCTTCTCTTCACGCGACGGAAACACGTCTTCCCCAACGAACCGACAGCCGAAACGACCTCTCCTACCAAGACATTTCAAAGAACAATGCGAAAATCACGGATGTGTCGTGAAAAGATCATAGAGTATAGAGGTGGAATCAGGAAACTCAGGTACCATGAAGTTGTTACGGCGCATCGTAAGGTCCACAATAGAAGTCATGCAACTCCGGTAAAGGATCCGTTTAATTCCGAAGCCGTCCTCGGACGCGAAAAGAATTAACTTCTTATAGTGCGCTCTAAACTCTCGTCTATAATGAGAAAGTAAGAGAGCTCGCCCGAGGTTACGGCAGGGGCGGG